GACACCTCTCTAGACACAGTCTACCGCCATTAGATGGGTTGTCACAATCTGGGATATGGTTAAATTCAACATGTATGCCAAGATTTGATATTGTTTTCAAAAAACAAAAACAAAAAACATAAAGGAATTTCTTTCTTTTTGTGTGTGTGTGTGTGTGTGTGTGTGTGCAATCAAGCAAAGTCTTCATCTTTCTGTGCAATTGCAAATGACAACAACAATGTATAATTTAATATCTGAAGGATTAAATGCACATCCCGTGGCTTTTGGAGCAAGCGCACGATGCCAAGACAAGATGTAGTCTGATTAACGTGTTGGCATGCTAGATGAAGCCGAGCTACAATTGCATTGATCACTTGCCTATTCATTTTCAAAATGTTCATTAATGTTAATGTTCACTTGCCTATTAAATATTTTTGCAAACAATACTTTTAGCTTTCAGTAATAGGGTCTTAACCAGGCATGATGTAACAATTCAAAGTACAAGGAATTCATTCGTGCACCAAGTCAAAATTGGGCGACAGCGACACAATCAACCACAATCAAGTCATCGGAATAGTTTTTGCTTTTGTATGCATTTATTCCTGTCATGCAAAGCTGAATTTTCAGCTTCATTACTCCAGTCTTTAGTGTCACTTGATCCTTCAGAAATCAATCTATGCTCATATGGTGTTCAAGAAACATTTCTTTTTGTAATCAATATTGAAAACACTGAGCTGTATAATATTTTTGAGGAAACCATGACACATTTTTTCAAGATGCTTTTTTAAATAGAAAGCTCAAAATAAAAGCATTGAAATAGTAACATAAATTTAATGAGTATGTAAGTAAGTATTTTGAAACCTATTCCACTAAATTCAGCCAATTCTGTCCCAAAAACACTTGCAGAAGATGCTAAATAACTTTCCTTCAAATTCTGCTCGGGTCTGACTATGAGGACCCAGTATAATGAAGAAATAGTCCAACCACAAACACTCAGAAAACCATAGACTGTTCCTCTGAAAAAGTGTGGGACAGTGCACTCACACAAATTCATGAGGCACAGTGTTTATCCTGTAGTCATGACTATAGAGCTTTGCATAATGATTCCATTGTAGCCCCAAATCTCTCCAACTTGTCTCACTAATGCCTCAGAGAAAAGACCAAGATGAGTGATAAAAAGAGGGAGAGGGATGAGCAGCTTGTGTGGCCATTTAGATCTGGAGGAAATTAAACCGTCTGCTGTAGACTAACAGTAAATCCCTCTCCTCTCTCAAAATGAGCCCTTCTAGGGTCTCCCATTCAGCTCACTGACAGGAAAAGCTTAAGCTGTGGTTTCTTACCTTTAAAAGGTAAAAATGGAGAAGGAATGTGGAATATTTAACTTTCTCTGGGAAATGTTTGCTTTTACACTATTTGAGAAAGGAAGTCTGCATTGATTCCTCTTCCTTCCTGAGTCAACACACTATAAGCGGTCAGACTCATGACTGAGCATTAGTCACGATAAGTAGATGAAACCACTGCCTGCTCTAATCAACATCTTTTTCGCATGACTTTTCGCTAGATTTTCGCTCTTTGACTCGGTTTGACTTGGTTTAGCTGGAGTGATGGCTCTTGGGAAAATTATATTGCTTTTGTATATGGTGAAGGGTGGTGTGTGTTACTGCGCAGGTTTAAATGGGAGTCCTAATTATGTAATGCATTATTCAGTGGAGAGAGTCAGCAGGATTTTTGTGGGTCTCAAGAGAGCTTTTCCCCAAACTTCAGAGCCTGCTATTTGATTGATGCCTTCTTGGCACCTCGGTCGGAACTGTTTGAGAGGAAAACCACTCTTTCTCCAGCTTTTTAAAAGCCGTCTTGCAGATTAAAAAATGGCCATCAATCATCAAAAAAAATTTATGGAAATAATTGGTTGAGAACTCCTCGGTTCTTGAGGCTGGACACTTCTCTCTTTTATTTGCTGAATCTAAAGACGCATCATTACCCCATTTTCAGTGGAGGAGAAACCTGGAGAGAGACTGCTGGACTGGGCATCGGGCATACCGGGCATTTTTACTTTTAAAAAAAACTTTTTTTTTTGAACGGCCCATAAAACTCGTACATTGGCGGCGTTTAGTTTGCTTAATTGGCGGTGTTGAGATATTTGAGCTGGTGTAATGCATTGGACAAAAAAGTCAGCGTAGTTTATTTTTTATTTTTCACTTTTCACAGACCGGCACATGATAGTAGTCAGATCGATAGTGAAGAAACGCAAGGGATGTGCAGAGAAATAGCCCTTCAAGTGGCTGATGAGGATAGTGAGGAGGATAAAGAGAGAAATAAGTGAGTGAACTGTGGTAAGCAGAACTAGGCTACTTTCAGAACACTTAGTCTATGTAGGAACACACTACCTACTGTAGTTGCGATTACGCATTGTAATGAGACGAGTTTGTAAACCATGTTTTTCGCCAAAATAAAAGCTTGATGCCGTTTCCGTCAAAATAAAAGATCATGTACTTATCTCTTTCAAGTATAGAAATTAAGACGAAACTAATTATGAAAGTTGCTTATGTATTTTTTAGTGCATTTGTTTTACAACATATGGCTATTACTGCCATGGGATTAATATTATAACTATTATTATGTAGTAGTGTAGACAGACACTACAGTTTTGAGGTTTTCTTTGTTCAATTTGCACATTGAGTATGGGTTGGAGTAATACTCTTAATTTTGAACTCTCAAAGTGCACCAGATTGATGGATTTAACATTAAAAAGCATCACATTATTGTCTCTATGTATTTATCACACTGTGTTTGTACTGTTAGTTTACCGATAGCCTGACCTTTGACTTTCAAAATAAAGTGTAGCCGCTTTTTCTGTCAATCATTTTTGTTCATTAAAATGTAATTTCTCAATTTAAAATGTAAAAATCAAAGAGTTATTGTTACCTTGATGCCTTTCATTGTGTGTGTCCCAATCATCTCTTCAATATTGTTGCTCGGTCCACATCCCCCTTTTGGAAACCCTCTGGTACTTTGTTTTCTTGTAACTATTAGTGTTTTAGGTGCAAGAAGGTCTTTCTCAGTCCTCCTACATGACATCTTTAATCTCTCATATTTTCTTCAATGCTGAACCCACAGTGCACCTGTGCGTCTGCTTTGCTTGCAGCTGTGCCAAGTTGTTTTTCCAGTTTGTTCGTTCCCATGTTCTTTATCTTTCTTTCTCTCATAACAACCCTCTACAATGTGAATAAATCACTCGCATATGGGACTAAATCTTCACTGACTAAATCGTGTCTATCATTAGCCACTTCACTGACTAAATCGTGTCTATCATTAGCCACTGGCTATTAAATTCTTAGATTTTACTCGCCAGTCTGTGTGTTAAAGGCTAAGAATGAGATTAGCATAGATATATTTAATGCGCTGAACACTGACTTAGTCCTTGAGAGTTTCGCTCTCCGTCATGCATTCTGTAGATTCTTACTATTTCAATGCAGCTCAATGGATGTGCAGGGTACCTGTATTTCCGTACCATAAACTCACTGTTGCTTTGCTGAGAGAGCGAGAGCCTTACATTACATGCAGAATCGACGCACTACATGTTACATATATTCTTTGTTGTATTTTCCTGTCAATTTTTTTTTTTTTTTTTGAAAAATATGCCATTTTTTCCAGTAATAGGTGGAACTAATGTGCAAACAGCAATCTCATTGCCTGGCATTCATCTATTTCCGTCCCTGTTTTTGAATGCTGATAACGTGATTATTATTCAAGGACCCAGCTCATCAATCCTTAGTGATATACCTATTATTATTAGTAGTATTATTATTTTTTTTTTTATAAAAATTACTATTATCTATTACTGTGATCTATTTATATATATATAACACTGCATGACTGACAATATCTTAAGCATCACCAGTCCTAAGTTCAGTTAAACGACAAATATGCATTCATACATATTTACGAAAGTTCTATCATTAAATAGCGCTTGATTGAAAAGGATGATAGTGGAAATCAATAATGCTTTTATATGTTTTATTGAGAAAAAGAGAGAAAGGGGGAAAGCTGAGAAAGGGCCATATGGTGAAAGTTACAAGAAAAAATATATTCTTAGTGTGTAGTGTCTTTTATAAGAGACTTGATGACTGTAAACAAGACAAATGGACTAGGAATGCACACTGGTCACAGTAATACTAAGATTTCAGGGGAACTTACCTGCATGTTAGCCCAGCAAGCACTGACATGATTGTTGGTTGATGGTAAACTACTATATTTGCAGTGAACGTAATCTTTATTTACAAAGAAATTCTTCAACACTGATTACGTTGAGCCCGCTTCATTTTTTCAAGAAAGTTAGTGGTGCACGTTTCTGTTGCAGACGTGATGTGACATGCAGTGAACAAGATGGATAGACTCTACAAACATTTTCACCATTTCTTTGCATGATTAATCAATGCATTAATCACCCAAGCTCAACCTCAATTGTGTGAATGGCAGAGGAAGAGATAATGTGTATGAAGAGCAAATAGACAGTAAAGTTAGACTAGTGGCCTTTTTCCTAAAGTGTGGCTGGAGCAACTGATATTTTTAGCAGCATTTTAGTCTCTCCCTTCACTGGCTGTAAGAGTCAGGTTTCACTGTCGGCTGCTGTTCTTCTCTGAACTTCTCGAGTGAAAGGCTCCTGATGGAGACCACTAGGGATTGTGATCAGCTGCTTTCAGAACACGTGTGGACGCTGCAGAAAGAAAGCCGGGTCTGTATGTTGACAGACTACACCAGGCTTGGGTGATTCATTCCTAAGAGTGTGTCAATCAATGTGTCTGTGTAGGATTTAATACCATTTTGCTGTTTGATGGGCAGCATATTGTGTTTCATGCCATCAAGATGTTCTGAAGCACAATTGAGGTTATCTAGGATCGTTTGTATTAATAACAAAAAATGTAATAGTATTTAGGTCATACTGTTGAGATAGGCTTGTTAAAATATAAAGAATGTTTTTAGTGCTTCCTCTGAGCGTTTGTTTGTGTGTTTCTCTGCAGGACTCTGAATCTCTGGACAGCTGTATCCAGAGCACGCTCTCTGCTCTCTACCCTCCATTTGAAGCCACTGCGGCCACCGTGCTATGCCAGGTGTTGGACGTGGTCGAGACAACATACCGTGGGGACGGGCTGCGCTACATCATTGACTTCCTGGTGCCTGCTAAACACATCCTTCAGAGCATTCAACAAGATGCATGCGTGAGTCTTGAAGTTCCCTTTTATTCATTCATTCATTCATTAGCTCTAACTCTGATAAAACTCACATTATCACTCTGATCAAGGTCTTCAGGATTAATAGAAAGTTTCAGGCTGGTGTGTTTTATCAGGATTGAAGCTAAACTCTCCTTGACAGTGACCCTCCAAGAAGTTGCCTATCCTTGATCTAATCTAGTGAAAACCCTAAATTTAAACTAATAAAATTTAGAGATTGACAGATAATGTTTTTTTTCCAATATTGATTAGTAAGTTACCTGCCAATAAGTGATTTAATAGCCGATAGTTTAAAGTTTTAATTTTTAAATGATATCAAAGGCGTTTCTGTTTTTTTGTAAGTTCTTCTCAGCTGCATGAACATATTAATTGGCATTCTCACATTACTAGCTTTAAATATGCAACTGCTAGCTAGGGAATGTGCTCAGTTGGATATAAACTATGGGCTGGGACACATGACGCCTGGTTGTTGGCGAGCGTGCAGTGTTCCATACATTAGCTCTCTTCAGGATCACATAGGTGGCAGTTTGCCTGATTCAGCATGTCGGGCCATCGGTGAGAGTAGGAACGCTGATTGGATGTTCAATTTAGTGAACGAGTCATTGCACGAGAATTAAAGCGTAAGTGTTGAAAGAGAGCAAGTCAAGACGGCACAGACAGAAGGCTGATCTAATGTTATGTTATCCTACCCAAGCATTCCAAAATATGAATAATTTAATAAGCTTAAAATTAAGAAAGTTATCAACACAAAAGATATTCAAAATGGCAAGCATGCGCAAGTGACAATTCTCTGTCAACCAATCAACATTCTGCAGTGAGTCTAGCTCCACCCTTTAGGTACTGTACCACTGTGCTATGTACCTCAACGGAAGGGTACCGAAAAAGTGGTACGATTCAGCATTTTGGTACTATTCACAATTTTTGACAGTGGAAACGGAAACAATTGCTTACTGTACTGTATCTTACCGCTCTGTGGAAACAAGCTATTAGTATCTTGAAGATTTTTTTGTAGTTTGTGTGTGCGTGTTTGTCAATATGTGCATTTTTGAACCCTGTGGGAACAGCGACTGCTTGCTGCACCTGGGGTCAGTGGAGTATCTCCAGGTCTGTCTATTTCTCCGTGTAGGTGGGGGCTGTACCTTGAAGGTGAATGAGAATATAATAATGGGAAACAGAAGCTTAAACTGAGAGGTCTGTGAATAAAAAGCCCTTTCACCCCTCCACCCCTACCCTCGGTGCAAGGACATTTAACCCTCCTTCCTCCCTCCTGCTCTTCCTTTCAAAGGAAGCGGGTCATTTTCAGCAGACCGTAGTAAACTTGAGCAGAATATTCATTTCATCACTAGTATATCCAAAAGCACGTTTGCATCAAGTTACACAGAGCCAGTCAGTATTGCAGTCTGTGACATGACTGTCAAAGCATATAGGAAGAAACACTGAACCGTGGAGTTGTTTCGGGACTCCAAGGCTATTTTCTCCCTCTTTAGTGTCACTGTACACTTCCTTTTTAAAGTCAAATGAATGAAACAGGGTACAGAGAGACTCTTCTCTCTAAAATTGAATTACAATAAAGGGGCTTATTGTCCAAATTGTCTTAGTGAATCATCTAGAAGCATCCGGATTCGACAAGAAAGAATCTCTCATAATCTCTGTCTGTATTTGTGGCGAGCAGGACGAGGCTGGGTGACGTGAGAGCGGCGTGAGGCGCTGTGAGACGCACTGGTCTCGCATCTCTCACAATGCGCTGCCATCTGGTCATCCACTAGTTGGGCGATTTAGATTACCACTCACGCCACCGGCGTTGCGCCACTCTCACGTCGCTTGGCCTCGTTCTGCTCGCCACAGTATTATTCCAGGGATCCAGACTAACTTTTTTTTACTAGGAGCGCTGTTGGCCCTGACTGAAAATTTTAGTAGCGCAAGCAGAAAATTTAGGGGCACACCTTAAATCAGCTTGCAATGCTATTATTCAAATTTCCACATAAATAACTGTAATACTGACTAATTATTTAACAATAAATAGACTTAACATACAGATATTATGATATGCTGTTTTAAGTTCACAGGGCTCCAGACTCAAATTTGTTTAAATAACAGTTTTCCAACATGTTAAAATTTTTCGTTTTTGGACGATCTTTGAAGGATGAACAAATGTGTTGGTCATCACAAAAAATAAAACATTTATGTATGATATTATAGTTTTGAAGTGCTGGAAAAAGATGTGTAGTAGGCTACTTGTAAGCGTTTGACTATTTCTGTCACATTATCATATTTAAGGTTAGAGTTAAGTTACTACATTAGCCTAAATGTTGTTGATTTGTGCCCTGAAAAGCCTTCTATAAGTTTTTTTCTCCTGGTTTCCACATCAGCGCTGTTTGATCTGATATCTATGGTTTATAACAGAACTCGAATTCGATGCGCCGAATCATAGCGTATTTTCATTCCACTTTCATTTTGTTTGCATTGGCGGCTCAGTAACGAGCCGATAGATCGCTCATTGCTCAGACGCACATAGCAGGTTGTGATATTTTTCTCCGTCTCCTTCCCACACACGTTTACATGCGCTATTCTTTTCACACTCACTCATTCCGGATTCATTCAATGTGCCCTTTCCACGTTTAACCATGCGTTTAACGTGTGGAAAATTTACTGGTCGCACATGTGCGACTGGATGTAAAATTCAGTTGCACACTCTCAAATTTTGGTCGCAAAATATCTGGAGCCCTGTATTTACTGTTGTGTTAATTAAACGACATTTTAAAAACATGAAAGTGGCAGATTGTTGACATGTGTTTTTATGAAGCTTTAATTGTATTAGTTTATCATTAGTTAATAAAATGTATTGCATGAATTTTATTTTTTGCAATGCATGTTTTCCCATAAAATTCCCAATGAGCAAGCCATTGACAAAGATTGATGTTCAGATGTTCTAAAACTATGTTAATTTTATTATTGTCTTGAGGAAAAATGGAAGACAAACCGGTTACTTTGTGCACTTAGAATGGAGGAAAATGCCACTTTGTCTTTTTTTTCATAATTTAAAGTCCTAAAAACTACACATGGCAAATATAATAATTTAGCTGGCTGAACTATTGACAGAATCCTGCCTAAAGCTTGCTTTGTTGTTAGATTTTTATTGCAGTATATGAAAATTTGGAATGCATTTCTCTCTAAGAAAACTGAAATGTGTCCTTCGAGTCTTTCCATGTAACTGACAACAGTTCAATTAACATTGATTGATTGCCTGACTGATTGTTCCCTCTTTCCTCTCTCTACAGTTTCCATACTGTGGTTACCTTTTTCGTCATGAAGGCTGGCCACTGTGTGTTCATGAGAAGGTCATAATCCAGCTCTCCTCTTTGGATTGGCGTGTGTTACGGCCCAGCGACTTCTACTTGCAGGTGACGCCAACACCCAGAAGTCCCCCGCGCATCACAGTGAAGTGTCTGGCAGTTAGTGGGCAGCATGTGGAGGAGCTTACCATACCGGAGCTAGCATACACCTCTCTAATCACCATGGACTGGCTGGAGTCCATCAACCGGGAGAGGAGTGTAGTCAGAAGAGCCGCCCTGGAACACTGTCTTTTATCAGCAGATAATGACATTTTTAGGGTACCGTGGGAGGATATTGTTCACCCAGAGTTTATCAGCAGGCCTTCCCAAGTTACAGAACAAGGCGGAAGTAGAGGAATGGCGAAGGAAGTTCCAGACACAGATGGGAGGGACTCTGACGTTGATCAAAAAGACAACCCTGAGGACATACAATGTAGGATTTTTATTGACACTTCCACAGACCAATCAGGGGAGATGGACTGTCAGAGCAAGGGGGTTAAGCTCCTCCCTGCTCTCAGTGAGATCAATAAAGATAGCAGTGGGCGGAGCTCTAGCAGCACAGCAGAGGATTCAGAAGGGGAGTATGTGGAGCTAGCCGATATCACCTTACCACGCTTTTCCCCACAGAAGGGCTCTCTCACTCAAGCCATTAGTATGAACTACAGAAATCTACATAAACCACAGACTGCTGGTTCTACTCAGCCTAAAGCCAAACCAGAGGAAGGTCTTTTGAAGAATGGTGCATGCTCACAGAGCATGGTGTGTGCCATGCTGATTGAGGAAAACCTGAGTGATGCCTACCAATCTGTGATCTTAACCCCCACTGCTCTTGCAGAGGCAGAGCGTCCGCTCCAGCAGGTGGACGTGTCTAAGCCCACATCTGCTGCAGGTACAACCTCCTTTGACCGTGTGTCTGAGCATGAGTCTGAGATAGAGATGTCCGATTATGATACTGCTCCATCTGATATGTCAACACAAACAGACAGTAAACCAGTCGTCAGATCACTAGACAACAGTGTCATCAGCACATCACAACCTGACAGCAAACTAGACAGCACATCACAACTAGTCAGTGAGCCAATCAAGACATCACAACCTGACAGCACATCACAACTAGTCAGTGAGCCAATCAAGACATCACAACCTGACAGCACATCACAACTAGTCAGTGAGCCAATCAAGACATCACAACCTGACAGCACATCACAGCTTGTCAGTGAGCCAATCAAGACATCACAACCAAACATTGAACCAGTAAGCATATCTCAACCAGACCTTAAACCACTATGCATATCACAACCAGACAGCAGCACGTCACAGCTAGACAATGACCCAGTCAAGACATCACAATCAGAAGTTGAACCAGTAAGCATTTGTCAGCTAGACAGTAATTTAGCCAGCACATCACAACCAGACTGCAAACCAGTCAGCATGTCACTAATAGTCAATGAGCCAGTAAGCATATTTCAACTAGACAGCAAGCTAGTTAGCACATCACAACCAGATGACCAACGATTTGACACATCACAACTAGAATGTGAACTAGCTAGCAAATCTCCACCAGACAGCAAACCACTCAACACATCACATCTAGACAAAATGCCTCTAAGAATATCACAACCAAACAGCAAAACAGTCGACATGGTGCAACCACACAGTGAAGTAACTAGTACATCACAGCCAGAGAATGAAATGTTATTTGGTAATTTAGAGAGTAAAAACTCAGAACAAGTTTCTCTGGACAATATTGAACTCTTTGTGTCTGATCCTGCTGCAGAAGCAAAGGTCAGATCTAAATCTGAACAGATGAGAGGTGATTGTGGCCTGGAAAGCAGTTGTGATCAGCTGAACAGTGGAGAGTCTGTCTCCGAGCCTCAAGATATCAGTGTGTCTTTACAGAATCAGACTGAGCAAACTCACAGCCCATGTCAGATACACACACACATTCATACACCACCTGAGAAAGTGCATGATCTTATTGCCTTAAAAGAGGACCATAACGCATTAAGTAACAGTAGTCATGACAAGAATGTATCTGATGGTGATTATAGTCCCAGCGCAGAGAAAGAAGGTGGGCTTATTTCGGCTGCTCCGCAAAGCGACCAGGTAGCCTTGGCCTCTGTCACCACAGCGCCAGGGGAGGATCCGGTTACACTCATTTCACAAGGTCAGGTGAGGACAGAATCCTCTGAGGACAGAAACGAGACAGAGGTGGAACCACAGACAAAGGAAGAACATGCAGAAAGAGATGTAGCGGGAAATTCGCCTTGTAAGGAGGCAAAAACAGTAGAAAAGGAAAGCTTTAGAGTGTTGGAAAGCAAGACGGAGAATGAATTAGAAGCAGTTTGTAAGGCAGAGGAAGTTGAGACTGCTCAAACAGGTCTGGTAGATACCACGCCCAAGTCTGACTCAGACGTTCGAGTTCAGGAGGAGGGCAGCTTCTCTGTAGGAACAGATGAGGTTGAGAAGAAACAAACCAATGTTAAAGAGCAAGGGGTTGAGGAAGTGGAGACCAAGGCCAATACTGTGAGTGAGCAGGAGGCCATAGTGACCAACTATTCTGAAGTCCAGTCAGCATGCGCTCAAGTCCTTGATATGGCCCCAGATATGCCAAACACAAATGGACATATGCACACTAAGGACACACCTACCACCGAACGAGAAGGGCAAAAAACAGAGGAGGAGAGAAGGGGGGGAAAGGAGGAGAGGCAAGAGGATGAGGTTTCTTCCTCTGTGAATGGCTCTCCAGCAGAGCATCAGCAGCAAGCGGACATGGAGTCCCATTACCATCATCAGGAAGAGCAAGGTAGAGTCATCTTTGAAAAGTCCATCCCGCTCACCTTTACTTTATCTACATGCCTTATTTCCCTTTAAACTCCTTCCACTTGCCCCTTCCATTCATTTCCCATCCCCGTTTCTTCATCTTTACAGATGCATCTAAGCTCTGAACTGTTTCAGATGCATCTAAAGACTTCTTCCACTGCCTCAGCTGATGAAGAACCTACTTCTCTCTCTTCTCCTCTTCTTTGTTCACCCCATTAATTCACTTTCACAGTTTCATCCTCTTCCTCATATTTCATCACTTTTGTAACTATTTTAATTCTGTTCACTTATAATCCCCTTTTAACACTTTTAATGGTGTTTAATGTATGAATTGTGTTCTACTTCACAAACGGTCTCCATGGTTTGTAGCAGTTGTTCACTATAGTGACTTGTGAGTCATTTTTTCATCATTCATTCATTGCCGTGTCCACTGAACACCTAGTATATTTACTCTAGATTAGCAGACTAGCTCCGGTGTTTCGACATTCAGGCCTCTGACAAGTTACAAATGGCTCTCAAATGGCCCATGCTATGACCTGATAGAGCTGCTTTTCTCTTCAGGCTGAAAGGAAATTGTGTGAGGCTCTGGTTTTACTTAGACTGAGCACTTTACAAGGATGTGTTTTGTAGCAGGCCATATTCTGGCCTCTAGACAGTTTGTTTTCAAATTTAGACACACATTAATTCCACTGAACACTGTCCAAGATAGACAGCATTTCACATCTGAACTGCTAAAGGAAACAGCTGAAGAGAAGCCTTGGTTATGTGCAGGATTTCTGCTTTGTGTACTTTAGTAACTCAATCCGGCATTCATTTGGATTAAACTATTTTAGGACATCTGTTGCAGTGAGTAAAGCTGATATCGGATGATGTGTGTTTTGTGTGTGATCAGGAGTTGCTTGTCTAGACATTAATATATATTTTATTTTTTTTATTTTTTCCAAAAGAGTTGTTTTGAACAATCTTCTGCCATATTCTTCTTCATCCAGAGGATTTGGTTGCTTTGGATGTGCTCACCTGGCCCAGGTGTGGTACAGGTGTGAAGAAAGATATATGAGATGAGGTGATGTGGGTGGCCCTGAAAACAATCCTTGCTGTGGGACCTCTGAAATTGCAGGGGGTAAGCAGAGGGTGATGTTTTAGTGTGTGAGTGTGTTCGGGGATAATAGATGGAGTGTTTAAGTAATGGAGAACGGGCGGGGGTGCACTGCTTTGAAGATAGGAACAGCAGAAAGAAGAAATGATGGTGTGTTTGTTGTGGTAGTTTGACTATGATAGATCTGATTCTTGCTCTTTTAGTGGGTGGTTCACAAACCCTAAACACTTTTTGAGTTTCAGTACTACAACAAGGCAACTATGGCTTTTACCTCTATACACGCTTAAAGTAAGCTTTTCTGCTTATCTTTGTTTTCATTTTTTTCTTTTCGTAATTTTTCATTTTTCAGAGGATTTCAGGTGTTTGTCCTACTCTTAATCCACTTTTTCATGTGATTAGATTCAGTCTGCTCTTCGGTTTTGTAATGACTAAGGTTTTAAAAGTAAAACCTCAAATCTTCAGTGTCAGCGGTTTGCTGGGTTTATTTTTAGTTTTGAAAGGAAAATTACCTTTGGACAATGATTCCCTAAGACCTATAAAACCTCTTGAAAAGCAGTAGAGACTTTGATGAGAATTCAGTCTGTGAAAGAGAGAGCTGATGAGCTGGGCAGATGGAAGACTAGATGATAGTATGGATAAGCTCTACAAGAGTTTCTACAAGTGAGCAACATTTAATTTGTGACTGATTGGCCAGACCATTACTTTTGGCATGAAGAATAATCACTGAAGGGTTTCTCTTATGGACAGACTGAACTCCAGACTGTGGTGAGAGAGTGTGAAGCCAAGACCCTCTTTGCTCTGCCCTGTCTCGGGTAGCACTCGATGGGGGCTCATATAGTCTACTTCCTCAATGTGAGCATTCTCGGGTGAGGAGGATGTTGGGTAGACAAGGAGACAGAGACAAAGCAAAGAGAAAGTAGGGGTAAAAAAACAAAACTATTTTTGTCTTATTTGTCAAATTTATCGTAGCTTATTGTACCTAACTGAAGAAGAACATTCCATTGTGTTTATATTTCTTTCCTCAGAAGCTAACCTCTGCTGTTCCAGCTCAAATCCCTTCTGAAATATTGCAATCTCAGCCAGATAATGCCTCAGAGCAATTTATACATGTTTTACTTGTCCTTGTGCAAGCTGTTTTACGAGTGCTGGTATTCCCAGGACTCCATCTCATCTGTTTTTGATCTCAGTATCTATTTTCTACACAACAGCAGCAGTGCGTGGCAGTGCAGCGAAGCAAAACTTTTAGGGATGGGACGGTATGAAAATTTCATATCACGATTATAGTGTCCAAAATAATCGTGATTATCAATATTATCACGGTTTTGTTAAAAATTTATGAAAGTGCTCAAAAAGAACTGATGCTCACACTGAAAACATTTCAACAAGTTTTATAATTGAAAATCAACAAACAACAAATAAAACACGCCTCTCTATGCAGTTTTTTTAAGCAAGATTCTATTCTATGGCATTTGCTTCTTTATAATGCCCGTCGTCAATAGCAACACATTATTACACAGCGCACATCCATATAACAACGGACGCGCGCTCTTGTTTCATTCAAATACAACTTGCCGTCCTGCGTCTCCGGTTTTCGATTGTATTGCAAAAATGAAATCAGAGTTGATTTATTGTTTACAGAGTTTGATAATATTGGTGTGATATATCTTGTTTTACAAAATGAATTCATAAATAGGTAAGATTTAAAACATTAGCTAATCTCATTATCAATTCAATATATCCCCGTAATTATGTGGTAAAAATAAAATCGGTTTAATACGTGATGTATCTATACTTTACTATCCCTTAAAATATCACTCTTAATAATAGTCTTGTTTGAAGTTGTTCGTCTTTAGCTCAAATCCACTTGCTACGAACTTTTCTTCGCGGAAGCTTCACGTCTATTTCAAGTGAGTGACATAAAATGTTTCAACTCAAAACAACATTTCGTGCCCAATTGTTGTCGAGACGTAGTTTTGGTATTAAGGTCAAAGTTAACTTGCCTTGCGTTCGGGTGATGATCACACAAGACGACTCGGCAGATTTGAAGTGTTTCTATTGCAGTGACTTTTTGTTCGGCAGACAAGGTGACCATCCTCGATCAAGTTTCCCTCAGGACTTTTGTAAAACCCAAAATATGACCACACCTCAGATTTGGTCCTCTTAAAAAGCTGAAAAACCTCCTGAGCACGGTCACTGCCTTCCGCCATTCCTTCTCGAATAGTAATTTAAAAAAATATTGCATGCTGCGCGCCTGTGTCAGACTGGCCGACAGGATTCAGTGAGTTATTAAAATCGCGATAATCAAACACGGTTTTAATGATAATTAAATTTTAAACGATAATACTAACCGTCAGTACATTTTATCACGGTTTATCGTGAAACCGGTTATCTCCCCATCCCTACTTTAGTTTTATGACTGTCGGAAGCTGATCTCTGCTTATCTCCTATCATGCAGTCTGGTATATGGGGCACAGATCCAAGCCGCCCTATGGAACGACGCACAGGATGATACCTGGAATGCTTTAAATTAGCTATGAGTGTGCTTGTTTGAGTTGCATAATGGTACAGACTGGACAAATGCTTACGCTCAGGTCAACCGTTACTACGTTGCTGTTTGTTAGGGGGGGATTCAGAGAATGTCGGTCTGCTGGCTTTGACCCAGAGATTAAGCTTTTTTTCCTTTTTTTTTTTTTTTTTTTTTGAGGTTACCGTTTACAGCCAAATATCAGGCATCTGTAAGCTGTGCCGTATATCTTCAGCGAGTAAGAATCTCAGTGAAATCAATTTTGAGTGATCAAACATTGCTGTAAACATTAACTTCAACTGATCATATCAACAAACATTATCTGTGAACTTTTTAAAGACTGAACTGATACATTATTGTCTTTAATGATAAGACAGATTGTAAATTGACTAGTCAGTGTTGTAAACTTAACTGTTTCTTTGTTTACATTTACAGTAGGTGTGTGTGTGTATGTATGCCAATGTTGTTTGTGTTGAAATAACTCCAACCGATTTTCATATTCCAGCTTTCAGTCAGGAAGGAGACCACATTGTTTGCCACCTGTCTGCTAAAACCCAGAGTGAAGACACCTCAGCAGTTCATCCACCACTGCCGCCCATCTCCCAGAGGAACCAGCCTGTCCAGAGTGAAGCGCATGACATCAATCCTGATGTCCTGAACTCAGGAGTGCTCTGCCTACCTGGTGAGGGACTGCTTCTAATGCCATTAATATGGTCCTTCCATCGTAATGATCCAAAAGCTCAACTTTTAAAATGAATTTTAGGAACAAGAGATAAATCAGGGCATGCCCTTGTTACCGTGACAATGAGAAATACTATCTGGTTGAATCCAAACTGCAACAGTGGAGAGCTGGTGCGGATCATGGTCTACTTCATCAGTACACTCAGGTACACACATTGCCATTTTAAAAGATTTGGATTAATAAGTTTTGTTTAAATTTTTAAAAGAAGTCTCTTATGCTCACCAGAACTGTATATATTTAATTAAAAAACTGTAATATTGTTGGTATAAACTTATTTGTATCTGCTATAATATTTTATTTACATTTATCAAACACGACCTTGATTTGACTCTCAGGAAGGAAGTTAGTGCTTTGGGACTGACAGTCCTGGTGGATGCCCGCAAATGTTCTCCTGTCCCCGCCCTCTTTAAAGCCTTCAACATCCTCCAGGTACGAACACCATGACAGTCTACCTTTTGTTCATATCCTACACAGATAAAACTGTAACATACGGTTCACATCCTCTAGGTGTTTCCTTTCTCATACTTTCTTCAAAACTGAATGGTTATGCAACCTTGCCATAAATGTTGATATTTAAATCTAACTTCCAACCAGACATCTGCTACTGAGGAATTCAGAAGAGCTGACTAAACTAAAGTAAACCATTGAGAAGAGTTTTCATCGACAGAATCAGTCATTATTGGCTAATTAGGGGAAAATGCAGCACATCATAAATATAATGTGATTTCCCAGCTGTGGAAATAAATAGTTGCATTCACACACAATTAGGACATGCTCACTTGAGATTTGTAGAGAGATGGTGATGTCCTTGGATTTCTTTTTCTCATCTGGGATTGGTTATTTTGCAGAATGCTTCAACTTCTGACATGGTTGTTGCTTGTTAGTTGTTTTTTTTGCTATTTTTAAGGTGGCAGCAGAGAACACAGGCATCATATCCAGTCAGATTTCATTATATACATTTTTCTATTAGTCTTTATAGGCTTGTCTCATCTGTAGAGGACTCACCTCACCAGTCATTTGCATGAGTGAGGTGAAGAAACCAGTAAGTAATGCTCTGTAACTGCAGGAACATGATCCCTGAGCACATTTAATGGAAGCAACTCCAGACTGAGTTTGTGTTCTAGACCTTAATGCAGATTAATGCTGCTTTCTTCTACTGCCAAAAACCTGCCCTACTTTGACAGACTGAGGATGTGCCAATGCTGACTTCACCATTTAAACATCCTGAGTGAGATAGAGAGAGATAAATATGAGCAATATAAAAGTAAAATTGATGAATACTTTTAATGACAATGTTGTTTTGAGTAGCACAGGGCCTCTGTGAGAGCTTTTCATTGTCTTTTTGAACTCATTTGAGGTTTAAAACAGCTGCAGAAATTCTCCAAATGACCTTTGAGTGGTCTATTTTTTCTCATTTCTTTGATCTTCCATCTGTATATGTAATCCACGATAGACAGCTTACAAGTGCTGTCTTGTGGAAAAGGTGGCTTTACTGAAAGTATATGATTCTTGATGATATACTGCTAAACTAGTGAATGTCACGTGTTTGAATACCCTTCAGTGTATTCAGGGTCAGTGCTAACACTGACAGATGAGGTCTTTCTGAATGAATGCAGTGGCTTAGTGACCGGTCCGGTCCTCAGGGAACAGACACATGCTCTTCGTCCCTCCACAATAATATCATTTCATTATACATGTCCATTTGAGCTGATAATTACACTTTCTGTTCATGGTTTGAACCATGGCCTACCAAGGATTTTTTTTTTCATAAACTACTATAGTAACCCAAAACCATATAGTAAATCCTTGGTTAAGACACTTTTAATTCACAACAACACCAAACCAGACCCTGTCTCATCATACTGTATAATCATGATTTTAATACACTCAAAATGCAAAGTGAAAAATAAAACTTCAGTGTTTCAGTTAGTAGGCAATAAATATCAGCAGTAAATAGTCTCAGCCCTGAAGCGGTTGTTGATGTTTCTGGAACATTCCTCAGTAAATTTGCTATTGTTTCATTCCAGCAGAGATTTTCTTTTCCTTCTGGTCTGATGTGTGGCTATGATGGCAGGATAATGTGTGCATGATCAGTATGCGTGATGACGTACAAGGGAACAGACTAAAACAGCTCTCAAAAGGCATAATAGACTTCTCTGGTCTGTTTTTACAGAGTGTTGTTTTTCTGCTGTGTTGTTTTTCTGCTCTTTTGTTATGGTACATTCACTGACAGAAGGCTTTTATTGTGGCTCATTACAGAAAAGTGTCTACTAGGTTATGTAACCTTTAAAAACTTCTGTTCAATGACGTAAATGCATAGTTAAAGAAAGCATTAAATAAAAATTCATCCTGTCTATTTTCAAGGTTTTGTTGAACTTATTGTAAAAGATTGATGCAGACACATTTCTACATCTTACATTTTTCACCTCGTAAAAACTTGTCATAAAATGACAGGCTTCTCTTGTGTATAAGCTCGCATTTAGTTATTAATAATTACTTTTTAGTAATCATAAATGACTATAAAATACTTTTATTAGTCAATAGGACTAGGAAGTCTGTGAAATGTGTGTAATTCATGGTGCTGTTTGTGATTCGATAGTCTATTCAATCTCTGCAGGAAGCTATGCAGGGATGCATCCATACAGTGCTGCTGCTGGCCGACAGAGATTTGGCTCTGCGATTGGAGAAAACCTCTTCTATACAGGTAATGCACAAAGATCACCTGTAACTTGTAAGGTAACAGCTGACAGTATCTACAATTGATGTACCACATCTGATATTGTAGCGTGTGACTTGCATATAATGAGGGCAGGAAGGATTAAAAAAAAAAAAAAAAAAACCGATCCATATATAGGAGGAAATGGAGGTTGTTTGTTCATCTTAGGTCCTTAATGTTAAAGGAAATCCTCTAACATCCTCTAATAAAATGGCTCCCTTTATAGAAATAAACAGCATCTACCAGCACTGACAAGATACTGGCTTTCACCTAGTTACTCTGCACTCTTTGAGAAGTAGATGGCTATTTTAAAACACAAGTGTCTGTACTGAGACGCCGCAACACAAATCAGACTGCCAGAGATAGACTCTTGTAGCTACGTAAGAAAGTGCTTCTGTTGAGAATTTCACAACAGCTGTACTTATAGTGTAGCCTAGATATCTATCTTAGCTATTAGAATAGCTGAAGTGTTTATGATTCCACTGCAATACATTTTTTTCCCTTTTAATGCAGAAACTAAGACCTGACGACTGTTGTGTCCTGTGTTCTTTTTGCATCTATCAGGTGGAGTTGTTGACATCTTTGAAGTCTCTTTATAAGCATGTTGACATCGCTCAACTTCCCACTGAGTTTGAAGGCACTTTCCCGTATTCCCACAGCAGCTGGGTCTGTTTCAGAATGGTGAGAAAATCATCATTATTCAGTCCTCGGACTAAGGCTGAAATATACTACACGACTTTTTAAACCGATTTGTTGCCAGAAAGTAGCAATAAGCCACATGATTAATACAGCAATAAGCCACTGCTGTGTGTGTTAATAATGATCACAATAAAACATTCTTTTACCAATAAGCATATAAACTACCAGTCAAAAGTTTTGGATCTGTAAGATTTTTAAGTCTGTAAGACTTCTGCTCACCAAGGCTGCATGTATGTGATTAAAAAAAAAAACAGTAATATAGTAATATAATAATTTAAAACAGTTGTTTTCTATGTGAATATATAGTAAAGCGTAATTTATTACTGTGATCAAAGCTGAATTCAGCATCATAACTGATTCTTCAGAAATCATTCTAATATGATGATTTGATGCTCAAGAAACATTTCTCATTATTATCAATGTTAAAAACAGTTATTTACATTTTTTATTTCAGGATTCTTTGATGAATAAGAAGTTTAAAAGAATAGCATTTATATGAAATGGAAAGCTTTTGTAACAATAAACAATACCATTCAAAAGTTTGGGTTCAGTAAGAATTTTTATTTTATTTTTTGGGTGGAATAAGAAATAAGAGAAATCAATACTTTTATTCATCATGAATTAATTAAAATCGATCAAAAGTTACAGGAAAGCCATTTGTAATGTTCTATTTCAAATAAATGCTGTACTTTTGAACTTTCTATTCATCAAAGAATTGAAGAAAATAGTACAAAACTGTTTTCAACATTTATAATGATAATAAATGTTTTTTTGAGCATCATAGGATGATTTCTGAAGGATCATGTGACACTGAAGACTGTAGTAATGATGCTGAAAATTCAGCTTTTATCATAGGAATAAATTGCATTTTAAAATAATATTAAAATTGAAAACAGTTATTTTAAATTGTCATAATATTTAACAATATTTCTTTTTTTCTTCCCTTTTTAATCAAATAAATGCACCCTTGGTGAGCAGAAGAAATTTAAAAAAATAATAAAATAAAATTAATTTCATGTGCAGTGAGATATACTTATATTACATGATTTACAACATCTGAGAACTGTTTTAGTAAACTGGATTTTATTTTCTAATGGGTTTTCTAACCTAAACATGTCTTTTTGTTATACCTCAGAGGTTGGAGCAGCTGACCAGCCATTGTGAGGATGCTGTGAACCTGCTCCAGAAATCCATCAGCATACTGGAGTCTGCAGTGCTGCCACCTACAGCAGAGGTACTGCAACAGTCAATAAAATACTTCTCTAAAAGCAGCTCTATCGAAAGCAGTCCCACAAAAAATGCTTTGTCCCAGCCTTTTCAGAAATGAGAGAGCTGTTTTTACTATATAGATATATATATATTAAATGATTTTGGCAGACACTTACATCAAAAGTGACTTTTTTATCAGTTCTTGCATTCCCTAGGAATCAAACCCATGAGCTTGGTGTTAATATGCTCTATTGTTTGAGCTACAGGGATATATATTGCAGATAGTTTGCCTGTGAACCAGTTGAGCCCATAAACTCTTGGTTCTAATTATGTTTACTGAGTCCAAGGACTCATTATGACCTTCTGACAGTGAACTCTCCTCAGGAGGGCATCACATGTGGCACTAAAGTCTTCTATTCAGAGGGACTTCTATTATATTTCCATGAAGTACAGCAGTGGCTCTGGTGTCCGGTTACAGTGATTTAAAGACTGTTCTGTTTAGAACTGAGTTTTAAAATATAGACTTCAGTTTGTGTGTGGTTAGTGTGTCAAGGCTTTGACTGAGTTGACCTCTGGCTGTCAGTGGAGGTCACAAAGGACCTTTTTATCCACAGGCTTCTGGGGGAAAACAGGGCCTCAGGAGAAGTAATGATCTCCCAAAGGAGTGTTTATCTGCAGCCATCTTCAAAATCACTTACCTAGGGTTTATATAAAGAGTTGAAAGGAGAAGCAAAGAAAGAGTCTGGTGGATGAGGGTATGGATTTCTGCTTACTGAATGCTAAAACAGCCCCTCCTGTGGATGAAGTGATGCTTAGATGTTAAATGAATAGAAAACCAGAATAAGTCTTGGCCTGTCCGCTCATCTCTCTGCCGTTTCTTTTACGTCTTCTGTCTCCCTCCGTTAATCTAAATGTGTCCCCTCTTTTCCCTATTTTTTTCACCACAATTCTTAATGACTTTATTTATTTTCTCCTTATAGTAAGAACCTCACATATTGAATCTTCTTTCTCCACTGTTTAATAGTTTAATATATTTTAAAGCAGTTCTGTAACTGCAAATAGGCTTTAAAACTCTTAGAAACATCCACTGACATTTGTAATTCAAGTAATTGCTCCACAGTTTTATCCCACTTCACACACGCATGCTAATTAGGGTGTAGACGTATGACAGTCATTATGAGATTTTTTATTCCTTTAAATCTTTTTTCAAAATCACTTTAAGAAGGCTTTTGTTGAGGTTCCTGGGGTTATTCGATATAATATAAGTAACCTTTTGTTGTTAGCGCCTCATAGACTCCACACAATGTGGTCAGACCATAATCTGCATCATTGGGTCGGTATTATGGATGCCTTTCTGGGTGGTACACACACACCCTAAAAAAGTATTACACTCCAAATGCTACACTTACAGATTATAGATATATTTTAATTAAGATGGTAGTTTCATCTAGCATTTGATTGAGATGGTGTTTTACTAAATTATTAACCTTGTTTGATAGTAAGAACCATTCTCAGAAGTGGTTTCAATAAATGTAATAAATTGTCAGTAATGTAAACGTATAAGTCATTTGAACCATTCTTGAACCAAATGTTTAACCATTTTACACCTGATATGAGAGTAAAATAAAATAAAATCTTTTGATACATGTTCAAAATCATGCAACTACTGGTACAACATTTTTTTTTTTTTTTTTTTTAGGTAAATAACTTTTTATTCAGCAAGGACACCTTAAATTCAATTGATAAAAAAAATGAAAGAAACTTTTTAAATTTTTTTTAGAGAAAGATTTCTCTTTCAAAAAATGATTTCCACAAAAATATAAAATAATGCAACTGTTTTCAACATTGATAATAATAAGAAATGTTTCTTGAGCTGCAAATCAGCATATTATAATGATTTCTGAAGGCTCATGTGACACTAATGATACCGAAAATACAGCTTTGCAACATTTTAAAATATATTAAAATAGAAATGTTATTTGAATTTGTAATAATTGTTTGTAATATTGCTGTTTTGCTTCATTTTTGAGCCTTGATGAACATACAAGAAAAAAAAAATCTTTTGAATAGTAGTATACGCTCACATGGGATGGATTTGGCAACTTTTGCTTTATCATTTGGCTGCATCTACGCCAAAAGGTTTCAGTATATAAAGTGCAATACAAGTGTTGTACTGTTGTTAAGAAAGATCCATAAAAGCCAGATTTAAGTACAACAGCACAAGTACAAACACACACCTGAATGTTTGGCAGTTATGCGTATTAAACTGTACTGTAGCTTAAGCTCATTTGATAATTTAATGAGTACAAATTTGAGCTGGTATTATATAGATAATAAGGAACGCCTGTGTGCGTGAGAGTGTGTACAGGTAATGTGTGCTGCTACAGCTATTACTCCATCTGTCAATGGAATTTGGAACATAATGATGGGGTGTATGGGGTGTTTATGCTTGTGAAAGGACAGATATTACTCAGTGAGAGAACAGTAGGCACGATGTGTGTTTGTAATAATAAGGTGTATGGGAATGTGTATAGCTGTAGAGTAGAGTTGGTGTTTTATAGTAATAAAAGTGTGTGTGTGTTGCAGGAGGCACAGATCTTATTGTGTAAGTACAGAGAGCTGATGAGGTCTGTTCTGGAGGACAGCAGGCTGGTGCGGCTACAGTTGGAGGGAGGAGCCGCTCTGTCCCGTTTACGAAAAGAAGAGAGCAGCGTCAGTTTGACAGAGGACTACAGGTGAGACATGATTATACAGACTTTAAAGGACAAGTTCGGTATTTTACAATTAAAGGCCTGTTTTAAGATCGTCCCTGATGAAATAGAATAGTTAAGATTGTTTTTTAGACAGATGCTCCTGTCACGAGAATTTTTGGATTCTGTGTTAGCACCCCCCCACCTTTATAATGAAAGCATAGGTGCACTCGAACAATCATTCATTAAAACGCATAAAACTTTAGTTTTCAAAGACGTGAAACTCACCGAGTGGTCTGGGGTGTTCACTGATATGCTCACACAAAAATCGCTGCAAAATATGCTTTCCAACAGGTTTTATCGTAGTTTTTGTCCAAGGCCATTTTCTTCCTGTTTTGGTCGAAGTCCCCAGTAGTCGATTGTCGAGTTTGCGTGCGCGATCCTTAGTTATCTAGTTACCAATGATCGCGCACGTGAACTCGACAATTTACTATTGTGGACTTCGACCGAAAACAGGAAGAAAATGAAGGATAAAACTACGACAAAAACTACGATAAAACCTGTTGGAAAGCATCTTTTGCAGCGATTTTTGTGTGAGCATATCAGTGAACACCCCAGACCACTTGGTGAGTTTCACGTCTTTGTAAACTAAAGTTTTATGCGTTTTTATGATTGTTCGAGTGCACCTATGCTTTCATTATAAAGGTGGGGGGGTGCTAACACAGAATCCAAAAATTCTCGTGACAGGAGCATTTGTCTAAAAAACAATCTTAACTATTCTATTTCATCAGGGACGATCTTAAAACAGGCCTTTAATTGTAAAATACCGAACTTGTCCTTTAACACTCTGCACACATCACAAATAACCAAATAGGCTCTGTTCCAAAACCTAGTGAGCTAAAAGTGGATGTATTATCTCAGCAAAGGAGAAATGCTCCCTAACACTGATTTAGACAGATTTGTGAAAATCCAAGATAAATGTTGAATAGACACTTCCGCTCAAAGATTTGGGGTCAGTAAGATTTTTCGTTGATTTTGCAAGAAGCATCACACAACTGCATTTATTTTACAAAAAAAAAAAAAACCCAGTAAAAACAGTAATATTGTGGAAATATTATTACAATAATATATTATTATTTTTGTAATCAATTTAATGCATCCTTGCTAAATAAGGATATTCATTTCTTTCCAAAAAAAATAAATCTGACAGACCACAAATGTTGAATGGTAGTATACATGTAATTCATTGAATAATAAAAAGGTATTTAAAAAATAGTGACTATAAATGAATATTTTATATACAGCTTGAAATTTTAATCAGCTGTGAGTTGAGTCTTCTGTGCGCTTCATGTGAGTTCCTGCCCATGTAGAGCATTACAAATGAGCCACTAATGAAGATTAATTTCAGTAAGGATGCTGCCTAAATAGTCAGTAGGTAACGAGGCAGCTCGCTAGGTTTTGGAATTGAATTATATAATTAAGAAAAATTATTTAAAGAGAGTTTGAGAGTGCCAAACAAGAGAAGAATAATGAAAGAGAGAGAGAGAAAGTGTTATGAGCGTGGGAGAGCATGTTCAGGCCTCTGATGATCAGGACTGGGTTCATCAGGAGGTTGAGGGAGTGTGAATGTTATTTCCCACAGCTGAGCCAAGAGAAATGTCTTTATCTGCACACAGTCATTTCATCCTGAAACATACACACAATCCTAGAGCTAAACTGACAACAAATGTGCTTGTGTCTGTCTCTGATAACATGGTATGGTTTGGATGCAGCAGGGCTCTGGTGCTACTTCCTGTTTGACTTGGGTTAAAACACAGTGGCATGTCTGTGCTGGCTTACTCAAAAGCAATTTCAAAGCCTCCTGCTCAGACACAAACACTCAAGCCCGGTGTTCGTGATAGATTCCGGTTATAAAGACCCAGTGGGTTGCTCATTTAAAGGGTTAGTTCACCCAAAAATGAAAATTAAGTCATTAATTACTCACCCCCATGCTGTACCAACCCCGTAAGACCTTCGTTCGTCTTCGGAACACAAATGAAGATATTTTTGATTAAATTTGAGAGCTGTATAACTACCACATTGGCTCCTAAGGGACTGCCTCTTGACGGCCCAGAAAGTCAATGAAGAAAATGTTTAAATATCCCAAGTGACTACCGTGGCTCAACTATATGTTACTATACTTCCTTAGATTTCCACGACGCATGCGCGAGAATTGCGATCTGAAGTAGTGAAGCTGGTGTGAGCAGATCGCAATTCTCGCGCATGCGTCGTGGAAATCTAAGGAAGTCTCGTTCTGGCCTACAAGGAAGAAAAGGAATAGTCGAATAAACTCGTTATTTTTGTTTGTTTTTCCGCACAAAAAGTATTCGCGTCGCTTGATAAACATATAGTTGAGCCACGGTAGTCACCTGGGATATTTAAACATTTTCTTCATTGACTTTCTGGGCCGTCAAGAGGCAGTCCCTTAGGAGCCAATGTGGTAGTTATACAGCTCTCAAATTTAATCAAAAATATCTTCATTTGTGTTCCGAAGACGAACGAAGGTCTTACGGGGTTGGTACAGCATGGGGGTGAGTAATTAATGACTTAATTTTCATTTTTGGGTGAACTAACCCTTTAAGACTGATGGCTTGGTTTTTGCTTTTTCCAAAGACGTCATCTAATAAATTAAAATGCAGTGAATATGATTCTAAGCTAGCCTCTCTGGTTCCATAGCCTGATCTATTATCCGTCCTGTCATCTTCATCCCTTTTGTGGCTTTCATATTAGGTGAAATTAGAGTTTAAAGGCTGTGCAAGTTGCTCATTTGTTGCTTAACAAATGCCAAAATGAAACCTAAGCTGTCTGAGCTGCTCTCACACAAGCACTTCACCTGGATGCTGACAGACACACAAAGGACTCTATCTCATAGGTGTGACTGAGTCTAAAGTGCCCAACAATAGTGAACGAATCCGGCTCTTTTTTCTGAATTTTTCCCTCACACATAATCTTTCAAGACTTTTAACAATTCCACTGGATCCTAGAGGTGAACTATGACCCTTGCTTTTTTACTGAATAGAAGGATTGTGCTTTTACTCACTGGTGGTCTCTGCTCATTTTTGTTTCAAATGTACATAAACAGGAAATTGTATCTCCTTTTCATCTCTTTTCTCTAGTCTTTGTAAACCATTTAGCAATTACATTTAACAATTAGTATTGTTGGTAATGTAATTTAATGACAATAATTCATTGGCTACATTTTTATCAGTGATTATTGTTGCCATATTCTTAATCTTAGAGACTCCAGGTATATCTATATAAATGTGTATAGTAATACACAATATTAATAGTAAAAAAATATATAAATATATATATATATATATATATATATATAGAAACAGTCAAGTTCAATCATCTTCTGTCTGCCAAAAAGCAATTAATCAGCAATACTATGTCTGAATGCTACATTGAGCTGGTAATGAAGGCCTCTGATTTTTCATACATCCGTTTTAGACTCTTATCTCTCTCTCACTCACTCTTTTGTCATTGTCTCTTGCTGGAATGTCTTTGATATCCCCTGCGTGCTGTGATAACCCGTGTTTGCTCTGGGTGTGTGCTGTGAATAATTGGTGAGTTTTGGATTGACTCTGACGTCCCTGATTTGCCCCTCATGCCTCTCATTATGTGTAACACACATATTCTTTCCAACACTGAACTTAAGTCAACCAATACCTCAAAGGGATAGTTGAGCCAAATTAAAATTCAGTTACCATTTTCTGACTCTCATGTCCTTTTTTGCTGTAGAACTCTGTGGCTACTCTGTCACATTGTAAGTGAATAGGGCTGTCAAGCTCAAAAACAAAACAAACATAACTTAACTGAAAATCTTTTAAAACCATGTGAATGTGTTTGCATCTGTGTATCTAACAGCAGGGGGCACACTTTTTTAGCTGTTGTTATGTCTGTCTGCATTAACAAGTCTTGCATGCTTCAATAAGTCTTTTGACAATCAAAATGGGAATGTGGCACTCCTCAAAAAATAGTTTTTAATATTGACATTGATGTTGTGTATGGATCAGAGAGTGGATAACTCTTTGGCTGAGTTAGTTGGCATATCGTTGGGGAAATGTATAAATGTTTGACTAGAGCACAATACATTATTGTGTAAGTAAACTACAGTGGTGATGAAGTCATCCAGTAGACATCAAACTCTTCTGTTGTGCACACTGTGCTCTGTCACTGTGTATCACAGCACTGGACATTAACATACAGATACACAATGTACCATTACTCACATTTTCTCACAATTATGCATTAAAATAAATATTTTCTTGACATACTTATATGCACATGTATACAGTCCAGTCAATTACTCACATTATGTCTCTCATGTATGCTCTTTTTCTTATACAATACACTCTCTCTCTCTCTCTCTCTCTCTCTCTCTCTCTCTCTCTCACTTCTCCCTCACTTCTCCATACCCTATCTCCCATTACCAGATCACAATTTGCACATCCAATTACATTCAAAGCCTCGTCCAATCAATATATTCTATAAGACTGTCTCAGCCAATGAGATGTGAGTCCTGCAGTCAGTGTTTTCTCCATAGCTCAGATGCCTGGAGTTTCTCTCAGGGATTAGAAACAAAGTCAAGAGAATATGCAGACTAAATTTGATGTACTACAGAAATCTTCTTGGTGTGTGTTTTAGAGATGCCATCGAGAATGGAGGACATCTGTATAACCAAGTGGACGAGCTGGTTCACAGACTTGTGATGCTGTCCAACAAATGCACACAGGAACTGGAATTTATTATGGAGTTTAAGACCTTGGAGGAGGGATTCAGAGAGGTGAGGACTAAGGTTTTGCACTTGCTTTTATGAACTCGATTCATGACAGATTAAAATAACAGCTGTGTGTGAGACTTGCGGGTACTATAATTGGACTATATGTTTTCTCTTTAATTAAAACATTCCATGTTATATCATGTTAATAAAGTTTTATTATTAAACTAAGAAAAATCAAATGTTTTTTATTGAGAAATGAATTTACATTTAGAAAAGAAATTAATCATTAAATAAATTACAGTATAAAACCATGAATACAAGTGAGAGACTTAAGAGTTATACTGAGAAATACTGAAATTACTGTACATTTAATTAAACTTTTCACTTAAATTGTTTTTGCTGATAATGACAAATTTCTTGAAGAAATACATTTTTATATTAGTAAAGACTGCAAAAGGTCAAGTTTTTGCATGAATAGTCTCAGACTTTTGAACTCCACTACACATCTGGGTAGTTTGTGTCTTCAAGGCTTATTCTTAGTTTTGAGTTTACCTATTACACTTGAAAAATAGAGAATACTGTACTGAAGTGCTGCAAACACTCACTCACTCACTCACTCTCTGCCTTACTAAGCTACACACTGCCTTGGTGATTTATTAATCTGATAGTCTTAATGGATGATTGTGCCTTGCGGGCAGAAATGTTGGGGGGGACTTGCTGGCATGGAGATAGTGGAACTTGCTGAAACAGATTAGCTGAGCACACACACATTCATGCACATCATGAGAAAATGTAAACTAGCACCATAGCATCTGTATCAGGTGATACACATATGATTGATGTGTTTGTGTGCTCATGTTTCAGTCTACTGCCAAAGTCTACTGTCACAGAGAACAAGAAGCAAGTATGTTACGAATAACAGAGTAAACGCCCATTCACAACAAAATCAATAACTATAATGATAATTAGTTAAACATACTAATTCTATGAGAATAGAGAAGTCCACAACACAACTATAATGATACAGAGGAACTATCATTGAAATAGCATTCAGAAAAAAGAATTCTAACTGATGAACGATAAAAACGATCCATCCTGCTTTAAAGAGCTTGAGCGTTTCATGCGGGAGATGACAACTGCAGTGCGTGCTTATAATAAACAGAATGTTATCGTGCATTGGTGTTGACACTAAGATCGTTATAGTTATCGTTATAATTGGCATTCTTGGTGTGAACGGGGCTTAAAGCTGTAAAGTAGCAGGTTTAATTGATTGTATGTGTATGTTGTCTCTTAGGTGAGTCAGTGGATAGAGGAGGTGGGAGAGTCTCGTCTCCAGACACTGAGTGAGCTGGAAGAGTCCTTGGAGCAGTTACATCATAAACAGACTGTCTTCAGAGAATTTTACGCTGCTGCATACGTATGTCAACTCTTATTAAACACGTTTTACACCGCACTTTAACCCTTTCCCACATCATCTGCATTTGGGGTTGGGGTTGTCCTCATATTTTGTCAAAAAATGCCTCATGACATTTTTATTTGGACTGAGAGATAATATTTTACTGCATGAGTCAAACATTTGCTTAATTGTGTAAACATGAGTTTCAAGAGGGTTTGTCAATGTTTAAATGTAGTCACCTCAGTCGCACCCTATGCTTTCATACCATTCCACTATGTAATACTGCGTGTGTGTGTGTGTGTGTGTGTGTTCAGGAGCACTGTAAGAGCGGTGAAGCTCTCCTTAAGCGCTTAGAGAAGTGGGAAGACATCTCCTCTTCGGAGCTGCAGGTATACGAGGTGAAAGTACGCTCATTCTGGGTCCATCTACATGATTTCTCCCAGCGAGTGGAGGACACCAAGGATAAAATTGACAAGACTGTCAGACTCTACGAGTTCTTTGACAAGGTGAGTGGTCAGTAGTTGCTTTTGATGTAAACTCTCCTGACTGTTCTGTCTTTGTATTTTTACTTTTACTACTTAGGCTCCCTTTATAAAATGTTCATTTGGTATTGAGCTGTATTGCAAGACGTTTTTGAGATATTTTAGAACCGTTGTCTGTTATCTGATTTCTGAATGGTTTAGTAAAGGAACAAGTTACCCAAAATGAGAATTCTGTCATAATTTCTTTACACTCACGTCATTCCAAACCTGTATAATTTTCTTTCTTTTGTGGACCATATTGTTTTTTTTCTTTCGTATTCATACAATAAAAAACTAATTGGATGCAATATTGTTTGGACCGCATTTTGTTTTAAAACTATTTTTGTGTTCCACAAAAGAAAGAAAGTCATACAGGTTTGGAATGAAATGAGGGTGAGAAAATGATGACAGAATTTCTTTTGGGATGAACTATCCCTTAAATTAAATGTAATTGATTGTTTGATGCTTTACTAGATTAAAATATTTAAATTGGTTTGGTGGATAATTGGAGATTAATCACTTGTGCTGCTTTTTAATTATAAGGTGTTTCAATTGCTCAGAATAATTACCTTAATGCATTAATCCATAAATATGTAATCTGAACTGATTAAATTGCACTCAGAGACACAGGTTAGAATACCTGTCTGAGCAGTGCAGTTTAGTCAGTTCAGATTAGATGTGCATTAGCTGTATCCATCCTTCAGTAGGTTTTTGTTTGACAAGTTATAATCTTTATAGTGTATTATATTATTATATTAAAGTTTTGCACTTTTTTCTTTTTGTTTTCTGTGTTTCTCTAACTTTATTTATCTAGTTTTATTGCAGTATTTAAATTTAGTTTTTTTTAATTAGGAACACCCTTTTTTCGAGTCAGATGCTTCATGGGTTGTTAATGCAGAACATGTTCTTCCATTCTAAAAACCTAAAAATTAATGTTTAATTTTGGTTAGTTTAAAATTAGTTTTGTCTACATGTAGTTTCCCTATAATCAAGTAGGCTTTTTGAACCCCCCCTAAGTATCTGGCGACCTCTGGTGGGGGTCATGACCCCCAGGTTGTGAAACCCTATTTTATTGAACACTTAAAGCGGCACTGCACAGGCCAATCAGTTGATGACATCAAATTACCGCGAGAGCGATTAGAGACCAGGCGGCTCTCTATGCTTTCGAAACACTCTTTTGGTACTTTAATGTCATACACTGATCGGCCTGCGCAGCGCTGCTTTAACATGTCTTTTGGTGTTTACTTGACCTCAGTTGGATGTTAAAACAGCCACGGATCAGAAACTGTTGTCAGAAGAGATAACTTATAGTCAGATAGACTTTTAGTCAAATAAATCCTGTCCCATCTCTCTTATTTTTTCCAGTTTTCTTTAATAATGATAAAAACTTTAGAATTACCAGATACTTAACTTAAAACGGATATAAGTATAGGTCTTGATATAGTGTTAAGTGATAGTAATGGAGCACAGTTTCATGTATTTCTATATCCATCAGACAAGAGTTCCTCTGAAAAGCATACAGTGTTTCTAAAGCACCAGCTATTACGGAAATCCCTGACTGGCAATGATGTCAGACAAACTAACACACACACACACACACACACGATTGTCTTTGTGATCAGACCATTGTGTTTTTCCTCTGTGGCACTGAGTGAGTGTTGAACGCTTCGGTCTGTCTTCAGTGTTTCCCCCTGAGCCCCAGCAGGGACAGATGGTCTTGTTAGCTGACCACTATCAGATTTTAGCATTAGCATAATCATAGTGCTCTTTCCTGACTCACCAGATCATCCATACATCCAGAGCCCTTCCCCTGTTGGCATGGTGAACTCTCTCCTGCCGTCTGTTGGCATATTGACAAAAGTTGTCTGTATATGTGTGTAATAATCAAAGCTTTTGACTGTGTTAATCAAAAGCTGGCTTCATTTACATACAACTGCCTGTTCCTAGATCAGTCTCTGACATATCACACATTTATCCCTTTCAGTATTCAGAACTGCAGATAGGGTCTTTATATCGTTGTGTTAAGGTGCGTGATGACACTTGTGGAAATCACTGGTGTCATCTGACTGGCATACATGAATGCTTATTCAAACCACCTGTCATTTCACACTCATTCCTATGCATGAATTTTCATGCTTTTGACTAGTTTCAACATTGATGGTTGTGTAGTTAGTGTATGACAGTGTACAGATGTGTATTAGTCTTGTGTGAGCATTGTATGCGTGTCTGTGTGTGATTGAGGCTGTATAGAAACCTCTGTCTAGTTTTTCTGTGCGTTTTGAGTGACCACATGCTGGACTTGTCTTCAATGACAGACCAGCTCATCCCAGATTTAGAAAGTGACTGTTTGAATGTGTTGCCTAGCAACAAGTCCAAGCACGGCTGATAAACTTGGCCAATGTGGATTGTGGTCATCAAACACGTCATGTGTGCTATGACAGCTGAGGTTGAACACGAGGACACTAGATTCTATTCATAGTACAACAGGACATCGTGCATTTATGTATGTATGCATGTACAGTGGTTGCCAAAATTATTAGAATGGTACGATTTTTGAATGTTTTAAAAGAGGTCTCTTCTGCTCACTAAGGCTTCATTTATTTAATCCAAAATACAACAAAAACAGTAATATTGTGAAATATTTCTTTTCAGGATTCTTTGATTAATAGAAAGTTCAAAAGAACAGCATTTATCTGAAATAAAAAGCTTTTGCAACATAAAAAATGTCTATACTGTCACTTTTGATGAATTGAATGTATCCTTGCTGAATACAATTTAATTTAATTGAAAATTAATTTCCTTCCAAAAAAAAGCTTACTGACCCCAAACTTTTAAACGATAGTGAAAATGTTACAAAAGCTTTCTATTTGAGATAATTTTCAACATTGATAATTATAATAAGAAATGTTTCTTGAGCATCATTATTAGAATGATTTCTGAAGGATTATGTGACACCGAAGACTGGAGTATTGATGCTGAAAATTCAGTTTTACCAACACAGAAATAAATTGCATTTTAAAATATTAAAAAATTCTAATCATACATGAAAAGCTCCCACCTTTCGGCGAAATTCGCCGTTTTGAAACCAAAATAGGTGACCTACGTGAATCGTGTTTCGATGAGAAAATGTTTGTTGGGGAAAAATGTTGTTAAGCACTGTATAATTAATGTAATTGCATTTAATCCTAAAACAAGTTTTCAATACTCCAAATTATATCAATTTTGTTATACTTGATCTGTAGATAAAACTGGACTGTAATTGCTGTAACGTTAACTTACCTTAATCATATTCTTTTCTACTGCATGTTTTAGATCACAACACTGAAGAGCACTATAATTGTTCTTCACACGGACAGTAACTGAAATGTAAAACTGTTAAAAGAAAAGGCTCAATAAAACCTGCATAGATAGATACTGTATAATACACTATGCATCGATATGCATCGATATCGATCCTTTGTGCTTTGAACTTTTCAATGCGGACTCAAAGAGATGCGCTTTGTGCCGCACTGTATTGGAGTCCTTCATTATCATATCATACTTTTGCGCAGTGAAAAGTTATTAAAAGCCTTTTTTGTTCTGTCCTATCTATTATATGTTTCTGGCTCATTAAACAGCTGTGCTATAGATTTTAAAAATGTCTTGATTTTAAAGGCTAGTAGACATATACTAAACTGTGTGTGTGTGTGTGTATATATATATATAGCCTAAAATAATCTTGTCTTGAAAAAAAATCTTAAACCACACCACATGTTTTTTTCTAAATCAGTAAGGAGTTCAACCAAAGAAAGTATCCTATAGACTAGACTTTTCACTTCTATGTGACCTAAAAGGTTTCCCTTCAAAATAAACATCTAAAGTGAGTCAGTAAGCGTGTGTTAAATGAATGAATTTACTCTGACCTTACTGGCCGCTGTATAAGCTCACTGACACACATTGGGTGACAAACATAATATTGACAATGCATTGTCTGGATCAGAGCCCTGCAGGCAATCACAGCTGCCAGCAGTGCAGAAAGTGACAGCAGAGCTGTGAGCATCAGCCCTGTGATGCAGCCTGAGGCACAGCAGACAGTAGAGCCCAGTGTGTGAGACCGTGTCCTGTCTGCTCCAGATGGTCTTCGTGTGTAAGAGTGCAGAGAGTGAGGAATCACTGAGATTGTGTATGATGGAAGGATGAGGGAAAAGTCAGTCTCACGGGATGTATTGACTTGTAATGCTCATCTATGCAAGCTAGTGTGGGACTAGTTTATTGTCAGAAAAGATTTAATTTGCCCCTGCATTATATTTTAAATTAACTCGAAATCTCTGTAACGTTACGAGGAAAGGAATTTCTTCTTTTGTTTTAGATGGTTTTAAGCTTAAAAACATACAGTACAGTCAGACATTGTAAGTCAAAGGAAATGGCACCTCCATGTTGTCATTATAATGATAATACTTAAACCACAGGCTTTTCACTAAAGAGCTGAATTAACGCACCGCAGAGAGGATGAGCATATTTATGCCCTCACACAGTGAATGTAAATTTACGAATCTTCATTTCACCCCAAACATGTTTTTATCTAAATGTTTCTGTTTTAGTAATTTTGGGTTTTGTTTTTGACATGTCTATTAGTTGTTGTTGTTTTTTTTTTTTCATTTTTCTTTTAGCGTAATTTTTCCCTTATTTTTTGTTTTATTAATTTTAATACTTAAAGCTGCAGTCCGTAGCTTTTAGAAATGATCCAAAATTCATATTTGAGAAAATACATAACCAGCCAGTGTTCAAAACTATCCACTTGCCTTAGCTCGATTCAAAGCGGTAAGCTTGTAGTAATGTTTTTAATTCCAGTGGTACTGGTGGATTTCCGTGGGAGATTCGAGCATGTCTTTGCGTCATTACATCACATCTGTACACATAAAAGAGGAGTCTCAGCTAGTATAAGCTATATTGCGTATGAGGATGCTGGAGGTGGAGATTTATAGCCTTTTCTCACAGCACTTGAT